ATCCATTAAATGGGGAAGACAATGTTTGTTTAATAAATGGTGCTGGCAAAACTGGAGATCCATTTGCAGAAAAATGAAACAAGATTTGTACCTCACACCATTCACAAAAATGAACTCGACATGGATCAAAGACTTAAATGTGAAACCCAAAACTATAGTGTTCCTCAAGGAAAAATGAGAGGCAAATTTAAGGGCCCTAATTTATGGCATAAAGTTTTCTCTAAAATTTACAGAAATCTCTAACACCTTAACAACAAAAAAACAAGCAATCTGATTAAAAATGGGCAGACGACATGAATAGACACTTCACCAAAGAGGATATGCTGGTGGCCAATGAACACATGAAGAAATGTTCACAATTATTAGTCATTAGAGAGATGCAAATCAAAACAAGAATGAGATACCCTCTTGCCCCAGCACTAGTAGCAAAGTTCAACAAGACAGAAAATAACAAATGCTGGTGAGGATGTGGAGAGATTGGGACTCTCATACACTGCTGATGGGACTGTAAAATGATACAACCATTGTGGAAAGCAGTATGGCGATTCCTTCAAAAGTTGAAATTAGAAATAGCATTTGACCTAGCCATTCCATTACTAGGTATATATCCTAAAGAAGTGAAAGCCAGGACAAGAACAGATATATGCATAACTGTGTTCAACAGAGCACTATTTACAACAGCAAAAACCTGGAAACATCCTAGGTGCCCGCCCATCAACAGAAGAATGGATAACCAAAATATGGTACATACAAATAACAGAACACATGCAACCCTAAAGAATAACACAGGATGCACAAAACACCACCTAATGTGGATAAACTTGGAGGACGTTATGCTAAGTGAAGTAAGTCAATCACAGAAGGACAAATACTGTACTACTCTGGTATTGTGAAAAGTCAAGGAAAGATTTGTATAGTGAAACTTTCTTTGTTGGTTACAGAGATGAGAGGGGAGGGGAGGGAACATTGCTAGATAGGAAGGGACAAGTATTGATTTGGGTGAAGGGAAGGGCGATATACCAAGTGGGAGTGATCAACACGGTGGCATTGAGGAAGAGGAATTCATAGAGAGATGCATGGGAGGTACAGACAACAAAGATGAACCCTTTTTCACATACAGTACTGCGTTGTCAGTAATGGCAAACATTGATCTACAGGTGGATAGATGGGTAGATAGGCTGAATGATCAGATTATGTCTATGCAGGTAGGAGTGTGCCCATGACCAGGTATAGGGTTGGCAGATAATGTTTCTACAAGTATATCTGTATTTTCAGTAAGAATGTCCAAGTATATAATACATCTGACAAGGGACAAGGTTATAGTCACTTCTTGGTCACAGCTAGTTACCCAGAGGGTGCAAGCAGTTGGACCTATGGGCTCAGGACCACGACTGCAGGGGACATCAGGCTCAATTGGCATAACATACTACACAAAACATTGTTCCACATCCTACTTTGGCAAGTAGCAACTGGGATCTTAAAAGCTTGCAAGCAGCCATCTAGATGCAATAATGGGTCTTTCCTCGTCTAGAGCAAAGAAGAATGAAGAAAACCAAAGATGCCTGGAAACAATGAATCAAAGGGACTGGTATATCATGTGATCATCAGCTTATATGACTATGAGATCAGAAGAACTAGATGGTGCCCAGCTACCCCTGTCAATCACTCTGAGGGGGATCTATGTGGGGAGATCCTGGATAGAGTGGGAGAACCATGGTGCCCAGTACCCCTGTCAATCACTCCGAGGGGGATCTATGTGGGAGATTCTGGATAGAGTGGGAGAACCATGTGGAACGAAACTGATTATCATTAAAAAAAAAAATACCAGGTTTGCTGCTCTGAGAGCCTGGTGGAACCACAGAAGACTATGGCTGCTAGCTGCCTTTCATGTCTGAAACTGAACCCACTCCTGTGGCTTCCAGCCAAACAAAAGACAGGCCTATGAGATGAACATTTACATTGAATAGATACATTCCTTGGAGAAATCAATCATGGGCGAATAGAAGGGCTGTGTATGCAACTTGGGGGGCAGGAGTGAATAGGACAGAAGGACATAGGGAAGAGGTAACTATGGAGAGGGAGTGGGAAGAGAGCTGTTGCACTGTGGGAAATTACAGTCAATGTCATGAGACAATGTATATGTGAACTGCTGTACAGAAAATGAATTTGCTCTGTAAACTTCCCCCAAATCACAGTAATTTTTTTTTTTTTTTTTTTTTTTTTTTAAAGTACCTGTATGATGTTTAGCGTGTCGTAGAAGTTGCTTCTGGAGCCTGAAGAGTCGCCCACAGGAGGGATGGGGACATACATACTTCTTCTTAAGTAAGTGCTGATATTTAATGTGGTGCTATGACAGTAAAAGAAAGCGAAAAGAGTTAAAAAAAATTAAGGCTTCCAGAAAGCTCTTTCCTTTGCTAAGTGAAAAATGCCAAAGGAAAACCAAGGATTTCACATATGGTTAGGAAGGTGTACATTCTGATGAAGAACACAGGCTCTGGTGAAACACATGGACCGAGGCTCCCACCTGGGTCTGTCATTCACTAGCAGTACAATCTCATAGGGGATCTACTTAAATATTTATTTCTAAGCTTTAGTTCTCACTTGTAAAATGGAGATAATGGTAACTGTCTCATAATGTTGTTCCGGGGATACAGAGACCACATGTACTGTACTTAGCTGGCACAAAGTAAAAGAATAGTAGCTATCATGATTGTAACAGAATCACAATCTAAAAGTAAGACTAAGTCTCATGTTGTATTTTCAGCTGAGCTAAAAATCAGACAAGCATGTCCTAAGCTTCAGTTATTTCATTTTCATGGTTTTTGTCAGACCCAAAAATAAACTGTACCTTTACTCACTTTTTTCTTTAAATCCATTCACTTAAAACAAAAAACATCTTTTATTCATCCTAAATGGGCAGCATTTTGTTCCACTGTACATGAGGCTGCTGGGAGGCAGAACTGACTCGGCAGTACCTAGCAACAACCTCCAAAAAAAATCAATGGTGTGAGTTGCTAATTTTTTTTTTTTCCCCTAAAACACATCAATAAAATATGTTCATCTGAGCCTTGGTGAACTCTCTTACTAGAGTCATCTCTCCTACTTGAAGAATGTAGGCCTTATTGGGAAAACACTAGAGTTATCTCAAGATTCCAAGGAAAGCTATCTATTTGGCCCATAGTTTCCTAGTGACTTTTCTAACCTGACTGCAATAATTTTGTCTTTCATGAAAGATTTTTCTTTATATTATATGTATCCTTTGCATATGTTCTTATAAAAAACAACAAGGCCTATGGTCTAGCCTATAAATGTAAACCATAATGAAGGATAAAAACTAAGAACGAAACACACCTAAAAGGCTACCTTATACGGTGATGTCACTGACCTGCAGATAGCGAGGGTGAGCAAGGACAGTTCCACACCCCTCCATCTCACATCGGACATACTGGATCGGAGGCTTTTTTCTATAACAAAATGCAGGAGAAAACTCACCAACGGAAAAGTGGCCTCTAACTGAATTAAAAAACTCTTTACTAGTATATAGCCTGGAGAGAACTTGTTAGAATTAACTGAAAATTACCAAATGTCTTATGGAGTTTGTTTGTTTGTTTGTATGTTTGTATGTATGTTTGTATGTATGTATGTATGAATGTATGTATGAATGTATGCATGAATGAATGAATGAATGAATACATACATACATAAATAAATAAATAACAGCACAAATTAACTAAAAACCAAAACACTAAACCCACTACCATTAAGTCGATTTTGACCCATAATAACCCTATAGGACAGAGCAGTAGTGCCCCATAGGTTTTCCAAGGCAATCTTTACAAAAGCAGACTGTCACATCCTTCTCTCATGAAGTGGTTGGAAGGTTCAAACTGCCAACCTACTGACTAGCAGTCAAGAGCTTAACCAATGTGCCACCAGGGCTTCTACTAGCAACCCCTAGAAAGGTAAAGAGAAGTATTAAGGTTTCTGGAAACCTCATGATCCTGCATCAGATATAAAACATAGTGACCCTGCATCAGGGACATTAATGAAGTTGCCTTTGTGAAACTTTCAAACAGCCATCTCTTGCAGGATTATCATGAGGGCTAATAGATGGGTAAAACACCTAGCATCACAAGTAAGGTACAAAACAGTGTGAGTTACTCACCTCCTTTTGGGTAACCGGGGACTTTTGTCATCTTTTCGCCTTCTTCCTCTCCTATAATTAAAGAACAAAGTAACTGTCCACATATTCCAGACTGCAGCTTAGAGAGTGAAGGCTGGCTGAAGACAATACAGTCAAGATTAAAGAGCAGGTGGCATATACAAAGGATAACGCAGAACACCTGAACCCATGAGACACCTGGCAAAGCTGTATGTGCTTCACTCTTCCAAATCAGCCTGCATCACAAGTTAAATATGTACGTCTTATAAACTAGGCAATACCACGGAGATTTGCATAAACCTCAAGGTTATCACTTCAAAATTGTTAACCGGAAGGTCTACCGCCTACATTTAGTCTATCAGAATAAAAACCTCAAGAATAAAAGAATCTATCATCTAAAAACCCCAAGAACTATATACTCTCCTTGCCATAGAACCAAAAATGTCTGAACACTTAAGTAAATTTTATTTCTGCAATAGTAAAAGGCTAAGCAGAGTTTTCACATGACTGAGATTTCCCTATCATTGTCTTTTTTTCCCATTCCTTTGTGGGTCTACATTTGCATATTTTTTCTTGCCTTTAACCTGTATCCCTATAGCCACTGTCTTCACTGCTCATTTGGCGATACAATGGTCAAAGCACTCAGCTACCAAATGAAAAGGTTGGCGGTTCAAACCTACCAGCCACTCTGTGGAAGAAAGATGAGACAGTCTGTTTCCTTAAAGCTTACAGCCTTGAAGACCCTGTGGGGTAAACTCCACTCTGTCCTACAGGGTCACCATGGCTGGAATCAACTTAATGGCACACAACAACAGTTAAGTATTGCTTTGAATTAAAATTACACTTTTCAAGCTCTTAAAAGTCTCAGCTGCTTGAGGTCAAATTTTTAAGTACAAAAAATATTTTCATGTATCCATATGTCACCATCCATCCCCAGAATGGTTTCATCTGTTAGATTTTCAGGGACTGCCTACTCACTTCCTAGGAGGCTCCTCATCCTCCCGAATTTCACACTCTTCTTCTTTCACCTCTACTTCTACTTCCACTTTAATCTCCTTCTTCTCTTTCTCTTCTTTCACCTTTCCTGATCTTCTCCGGGGCTTTGGGGTTTCCCTGAAAACACAAACACATTTCTTTGACTGTAGCAGAAAGCAAAAGATGTTCTCAAGGAAAACTATGGTTAACAAGGTGAAGCTCAGGGATATCTCTGACTTATAAATTATCCTCAGGCTCATGAAATGTGGTCTCCTAGCAATTATTTCTCATATACATAGTAATGACATAAAACAACACCTACAGAAAGACCCCCAGCTATACATGCCCCAGAATCAAATCTAACCATGGCTGTAAAGAGAAGAGAGATAATAAGTTAAAAAAAAAAAAAAAAATCTACATATTCAGGCAAATCATGACGCTTTGTTAAGATAAAACATCCAAACATCATAATAATTTGGATATGAACAAAATGTTCTGTTAATAGAAGAGAGGACTGTTAATGAGTAGGTAATAATGACTCAGATACCATTAGACTTGTAAAACATAATTACTCATTTAAAACTAAGTCTATACCCATCAGTTAGCTAAAAAGATGAATAAAAGCATACAACACAGTTTTTCTACATATTTTTCACTGACACATTTTGAGAAATAACAAAGCTGAGACGTGCCTTTCTAAGTGGGGTTTGTAGGTTTCATCTCTTGGGTCATCTTTGAAGGGTATTTCCTCTTCACTGATCAGCATCTCCTCTTCCTCTTCCTCCTCACTACTAAAAGAAGCAAACAGAGATGAGAAATTCCAGTTTCAATGATCATGTCTGACAGGATTTTATTTGGTAACTTACTTGTAAAGTGGTAGCCAAAGATTCACAGTAAGTTATTTAGAATTTTTACTCTGATCTAGTTGAACTACAATCTAGCTGCTTTAGTCTAAAGAATTTTAACTGGAACTAACAATATACTGGACCAATGAGCAGCATCACAATAAATAGAAGATTGAGGTTGTCAAAGAATTCACGTTGCTTGGTTCTACAATCGATGCCAACGGGAGCAGCAGTCAGGACATTAGACGACGTGTAGCATTGGGAAAGTCAACTGCGAAGGAACTGTATTAAGTGCTGAGGAGCAAGGATATCTCATTGAGGACTAAGGCGAGCCTGACACAATGATATTTCCAATCGCCTCATATGCATGTGAGAGCTGGACAATGAATAAGGAAGACCGAAGAAGAGTTGATGCTTTTGAGTTGTGGTGCTGGCGAAGAATGCTGAAAGTACCATGGACTGCTAAAAGAACTAACAGATCTGTCCTGGAGGAAGTGCAGCCAGAATGCTCCTTGGAAGCAAGAATGGCTAGACTTCGTCTCACCTATTTTGGTCATGTTGTCTGAGGGGACCATTCCCTGGAGAAGGATGTCACGCTTGGTGGGGTGGAGGGTCGACGAAAGAGAGGGAGGCCTTCAACGAGATGGATTGACACGGTGGCTGCGATGATGGGCTCAAGTATAGCAGGGATTGTGGGGCTGGCGCAGGATCGGGCAGTGTTTCGTTCTGCTGTGCATGGGGTCGCTATGAGTCGGAAACGACTCGACGGCACTTAACAACAACAATATACAGATCCTAGATGTGCTATTACTTCATTAAAGGTAGTATGAGGATTGCTTAACAGCACTAAGAGTTAAAACGACTGACTTTGTAATACTATACCTACTGTTCTGCTCTATCAAAAAAGACCTATTAATAGACAAAAAGCACATGATTATGGAAGATACTGATAAAACAGCTTAACAATGGCCAAAATACCCACATTTCACATCAGTGCCTAGCAAGGAAAAAGCCAAAACATAAGAGGTACGTAAGACATGTTTCTGAACTAAGTAATTAAAAGATTACATGATGAAAACGCTAATCAAAGACAAGGTTAAACTGATTTTGGAAACTAAAACTGAATTATGTAAGAGCAAATTAATTTCTGTCACAGCTCAAGATTTCTTTCACTTAGAAAACAAACTTCTTATTCAGTTCACATGATTGTGCTCTATGTTTTCCCAAGATTTAAACATGAAGTGAAAGGTCCCTTACCTAATGCCACCTGGAGATTGATGCTCTTCTGTAACATCTAGTAAAAAATAAAGCAAAACAAAAATTTAAAAAGTCTCCATCCACATAGAGATAAACATTTTCTCTTTGCACCCAAGAGAATAAAATCAAGTTACTGTCTGGGATAATTCTAGAAATGAGACTATTTGCAAAATGTCCAAACAAACAAACAAAAAAAACCTATCCTTATACCACTCCACCCAGTACCAGAAAGGTCAGCTGTTTTGGTAAAGGTTCAATATTACATTTAAAATCAACAGGTTAGTTAAGTATCCAGACTCTACTTGCACTGTACCGTAATCAAGCTGATCTGTGTTTGGTTCCGACTTGCAGATGAGCTGCAATGAACCAGTCTTGGACCTAGAGCTTCGGGTGTTCTCTGTGTCACGGTGGCGAGAGACAGATGTCCTGCTACTACTGCGCCAGCCCCGGCTAGGCCTTGCTGCAGCAATGGAAACTTCCTGAGGGAGCGCAGAGTCGTCTTCGTCCTCTTTCTCTTCCTTGGGATCTAGATTAAAAACGCACAGCATTCATTTTGAGTTCATATTTAACCAATAACCAACCTATATACCCACTATTGTAAATACAGTTGATGAAAATATAATGAATGAAATCTCCTTAATATTTAGGAGAAAAACAAAAGCAAATTTTTACCAGAATGACAGAAAAAAACAAGATGAAAGGAAGATTACATAAAGCTTATCCTTAAACACCATCACTCTAAAGAAAATACTTGATGTTACAAATTAATTTTATATGGCTCAATCTACTCAAAATGCAACCCTATGAAAAGTAAATGAAATGGTATTGACCATTTTGAATCAATTATATGGTCTACTATGCAAGGAATGACAAACTGAAGAGGAAAGGTGTCACATTCATTATCAAAAGAATATTTCAAGATCTATCCTGAAGTATAATGCTGTCAGTGATAGGATAACATCCATATGATTAAAAGGAAGCCCAGTTAAGATGGCTATTATGCAAGTTTACACACCAACTACTAAAACCAAACATAAAGAAATTGAAGACATTTACCAACTTCTGGAGTCTGAAATGACCAAACATGCAATCAAGATGTATTGATAATTATTGGTAATTGGAATACTAAAGTTGGAAACAAAGAAGCAGCATCAATATTCGGAAAATATGGCCTTGGTGAAAGAAACAACTCTGGAGACTGTGCGACAGAATTCTGCAGGACCAATGACTTATTCATTGTAAATATCTTTTCTTCAACAACATAAACAGTGACTATACATGTAGACCTCACCACATGGAACATACATGACTCAAATCAACTACGTCTGTGCAAAGAGGTGCATGGAGAAGCTCAATGTCAGTCAAAACAAGGCCAGGAGCTGACTGTGGAACAGATCATCAAATGCTCATATACAAGTTCAAGTTGAAGCTGAAGAAAATTAAAACAAGTCCATGAGAGGTAAAATACGACCTTAATTACATCTTCCCTGAACTTACAAGATCATCTGAAGAACAGATGTGATGCACTAAACACCACTGACCGAAGACCAGGTGAGCTGTGGGATGTGCACCCATGAAGAAAGCCAAAAGGTCATTAAAAAGATAAGACAGGAAGAAAAGACCAAAACATGTCAGAAGAGACTCTGAAGATTGCTGCTGAATGGAGAATAAAAACCAAACAAAACTCACTGCCGTAGAGTCGGATCCAACTCATAGCGACCACCCCCCCCACACACCACCTTGGGTTTCCAAGGCAGTATCACTACAGAAGTAGATTGCCAAATCTTCCTTCTGAGGAGTGGCTGGTGGGTTTGAAGTGCCAGCCTCCTGGATAGCAGTCAAATACTGCATGGTAAAATCAGGAAACATGTGTGTCAGAGTTGTATCCTTTTACCATATTCAATCTGTATGCTGAGCAAATAATCTGAGAAACTAAACTATAAGAAGAACACAGCATCAACATTGGAAGAAGACTCATTAACAACCTGCAACATGCAGATAACACAACTTTGCTTGCTGAAAGTCAAGAGGACTTGAAGCACTTACTGATGAAGATCTAAGACTATAGTCTTCAGTATGGATTACACCTCAACATAAGGAAAACAAAAATCCTCACAACTGGACCAATAAGCAACATCATAACAAACGGAGAAAAGATTTAAGTTGTCAGGAATTTCGTTTTATTTGGATCCACAATCAACACTTATGGAAGCAGCAATCAAAAAAAATAAGATGATGTACTGCACTGGACAAATCTGTTGCAAAAGATCTCTTTTAATTGTTACAGAGCAAAGATGTCACTTTGAAGACTAAGATGCACCTGACCCAAGTCACAGTATTTCCAATAGCCTCATACACATGTGAAAGCCGAACAATGAATAAGAAGACTGCAGAAGAATTGATGCATTTGTACTGTGGTGTTGGCAAAGAATACTGAAAATACCCCAGAATGACAGAAGAACAAACCAATCTGTCTCAGAACAAATACAGTTGGAACGCTCCTTAGAAGCAAGAATGGCCAGACTTCATCCCACATACTTTGGTCGTGTTGTCAGAAGGGACTGGTCCCTGGAGAAGGATATAATGCTTGGTAGAGCATAGGGTCAGCGGAAAAGGGGAAGGCCCTCAACGAGATGAACTGACACAGTGGCTTCAGCGACGGGCTCGAGCATAGCAAAGATCACGGGGACAGCGCAGAAGTGGGCTGTTTTGCTAGGGTCACAATGTAAGTCTGAGTTGACTCAACAGCACTTGACAACAAAAATTCAATTCAGGGATTTTTACCTTTAGTTCTAATATTAAAAACACCACCACCAACAACAACAAAAAAAACCCCTTTAGTCAAGTATAAAGATAGCTGACCAGAGTTACAGAGGCATGAAAAAACAAGAGTCACAGTCTACATGTATTAACAACCAAAAAATGCTGCAAGGTACCATACAGAGGAATTCCATATTAGAAATGCTTTAACTATACTCAAAAGTTTTTTACTGAGGGCACACACCATTAATTTGAATTCACCTACAAGGCATCCCACGGCAAAGTATTCCATATTTCAGTTGTCCTATGAAACTCTGGGCATGCATACATACAATGTGTTGTTATTCCATATTTCCTCATGCTTTATGGGTGGGTGAGTGAGACAGTAAGCCATCCACTCCTGAGCAATCATTAATAAAAATTTTAGTATTAGATATTGACTTCCATTGCTTAGACCTATACAGTTAGTATATTAGAAACAAGCTCATTTGACAATGGAAGATTTTTGTAATAATCATCTCAGAATGGGAAAGGCTTTTCTAGGAAGAGCACAAAACTTAAGAGATCATAAACAAACACATATGACTACTTAAACATAAAAATAATTTCCATATGGCCAAAACTATCATAAGCCAATAGAAAAATGGCAGCTCAGTAAAAGGAAAAACATATGGTTTTCAAACACATGAATACAAAACAAAACCAAATGGAGAGTTGAACCCCAAGAAAAAGAGAAATTCAAATGAAAACTACAGTGTGCTATTATTTTCCACCTACCATACTAGCAATGATCCAAACACTGACAACTGTACTGGCAAGGGTGCAGGCAAACAGGTACTCTAACACACTGCTCTCAGTGTGTGCATCAGTACAACCTCTACGGGGGACAACTTGGCAATATCTATCAAAGTTACAAATGCACACACCATTTCTCCTTAAGTGTAGCTACTAGAAATTGATCCTATAAACTACTGCACATTTATTACATGACTTAAGTGCAGAATTAGTACAGAACGGTTTTTATTAAAAGATTAGAACATAATGGGACTTCACCCACGTATACAGGTTTGGCAGAGGCTATTTTACCTATGTATTTATTTGTGTTATGAATATATATCCATGAATGTAGTAGAGCACACACAGGACAAAGTTATGAAAATGAGTCATAACCAATTACCTAGGGAATGAGTCGCTAGGTATGGAGGCTCAGGACCATAGTCTTAGGGGAACAGCAATGGCAATAGCCACAACATAGTCCACAAAGACAATTTTCACATCCTACTTTGGTGAGGAGCAACTGGGGCCTTGAAAGCTTAAGAGCAGAAGGGTGGAGAAAATCAAAGGTGCAGGAAAACAATTAGTGCAAAGAAGTGATGGAGCACGCAAACCTCAGCCTCCATGACCCTGAGACTGGAAGAACTACATGGTGGCTGGCTACCAATGCCGCCCGCTCTGGGGCCTCACAATACGAGGTTCTAGACAGAATGGGGAGAAATGGAGAACAAAATACAAAATCATAAAAAAGACCAGGCTTACTAGTCTGATGAAGACTGGTGGAACCCCTGAAACTATGGTGCTTTAACACCCTTCAACCCAGTCGCTGAACTTAACCTCTGTGATCTGTCAGCCAAACAAAAGGCAGGCCAATAAGGTGAATAGCAGTATCAGGAGGGTAAACACTCATTAGAACAATCAAGCATATGAGATCAAGAGGACAGCATTTGCGCCCAGGGATAGAGCTAGGAAGGCAGGAGGGGATGAGAAGAAAGGATGAAGAGAAGGGATGAGAGTAGAGAGGAAATAAGAAGAATGCTGTTACAGTGTGGGGATTACAATAAATGTCACAAAACAGAATGTGTATGGATTGTTGAATGGAAAACCAATTTGCTCAGTAAACTTTCACCCAAATCACAATTTAAAAAAAAAAAAAAGAGGGAGAGATTAGAAACTCAACTATCAGGAGAACACTGGTTATATAAACTATGGTAAGCCAAAAAAAAAAAAAACACCACTGTCATCTAGTCAATTCCACAAAAGTGTCTCATAGGGTTTCCAAGGCTGTACATCTTTACAGAAACAGAATGCCCATCATTCTGCCATGGAGCAGCTGGTAGGTTTGAACCACCATATGTGTACATACATATATATATATATATATATATATATATATATATATATATATATATATATATATATATATATATATATATATATATATATTTTTTTTTTTTTCACAGTGACCCTATATGGCAAAGCAGAACTGCCCCACAGTGTTTCCCAGGCTGAAACCTTTACAAAAGCAGACCACCAGGTCTCTTCTCCTGCACAGCAGCTGGTGGGTTCAAACACCAACCTTTGGATAGCAGCCAAGCACCTAACCACTGTGCCCAAGGACTCTTGTCTTTTCAGACCCTATGCATCACAGCAGTACAATCTGCAACCCATCACAAGGATGGTGCAGGACCAGGCAGCATTCCAATCCTCTGTGCGTGAGGTTACCAAGAGTCAGGGACCGACCAGATGGCAGCTAACAACTACGATAACAATACTGTGGAGAGCTAACAAAAAATTGATCAGTGCTACTAAACACAGTTTTCTATAGTGTGGAACAAGTTGGTGAGTGGGGCTACTTTAGTGGTTAACTGTACTGTTTAAAAATTTTATGAGAATATATTGATGTAACAAAATTAAAGTAGTTTGAAAGTAGACATGAATAGCAGTAGGAACACTTAAATTTTAAATCAGTTGTGCATTTCTTTTCAATTA